CCTCTCTTCCCCTTCCCCCAGGATTAGCCCCAAATCAAAAACCCAAGAGATGTTCTCACACAGTCAAGGAACTATGACGTGATTGGAATAACAGAGCTTTGGTGGGATAACTCACATGACTGTAGCATTGTCATGGTTGGGTACAATATGTTCAGGAAGGACAGGCAGAGGAGAAGAGGAGGAGTTGCACTGTACATAAAAGAGCCATACAATTGCTCAGAGCTCCAGTATGAAACTGGGGATAGATAGGCTTGTTGAAAGTCTCTAGGTTAAGGTTAGAGGGGAAAGCAACAAGGGTGAGGTTGTGGTGAGCGTCTGCTATAGGCCATAAGACCAGGAGGATGTGGTAGATGAGGCTTTCTTCAGAAGCTGCCAAATGACAGGCCCTGGAAAGGATATGGACAAGTTGGAGAGAATCCAGCAGAAGGCAACAAAAATGTTTCAGGGGCTGGTGGGGACATAACTTATGAGGAGAGGCTCAGGGAACTGGTCTTATTTAGTCTGGAGAAGAGAAGACTGAGAGGGGATTTGATGGCAGCCTTCAACTACCTGAAGTAGGGTTCAAAAGAGGATGGAGCTGGACTGCTCTCAGTGGTGACAGATGACAGAACAAGGAGCAATGGTCTCAAGTTGCAGCAAGGGAAGTTTAGGTCAGATATTAGGAAAAACTCTCTCACTAGGAGGGTGGTGAAGCACTGGAACAGTTACCTAGAGAGGTAGTCGAACTCCATCCTTGGAGGTTTTCAAGCCCTGGCTGGGATGATCTAGTTGAGGATGGTCCTACTTTGAGCAGGGTGTTGGACTAAATGACCTCCTGAGGTCCCTTCCAACCCTCATTTTCTATAATTCTATGAAACAGGATTGTTTCAAGGAGAGTATAATTTACCTTGTGCACACAGTTGATGGCCAAAAGAAAAGTGAAGCTGAACAGAAGTGACTAGACCCTACTCCTATCTTTGTACTACACAATATGCTACTGCACAGTAGCAATGAACTACTTCACTGTAGTTCATTGCTACGGTGCAGTAGTGTTGGGGGGCACTAAATGTGATGTGCCACTGCTGCACAGTAGTAATAAGCTACTGTGCAGTAACTCATTGATACTGCACAGTAGCTTCAGAAAAAAACCATGCGGGGACACTACTGCACAGTAATACCAGTTGTAGATGCGGCCACGGAGGTGCAGAGTTTTGTAGGACTTTGCTTCTGCTACCATGGCTTTTTTTATGAGTTTGCTGCGGGGCTATAAAGCCATTGCAGAGATTGGATTAGAGAAGAAAGATATTTCAGTAGTCCACTGAGTGTAACTTAGCATTTTCAGACATAAAAGAAACTTTTTTCTGATGTTCCCTATTTCACCTACCCATGTGTTAAAACTCCTTTCATACTGGACAGAATGCCAGTGTTTATGGAAAAGGGACAAAAGTGACACAGGAACATACAGGACTTCAAAAGATGGTGGCTCAGTACAGGAAAAGTCCAAGTTCCTCAAAGAAAAATTTCTGCTCCATTCAAAATGATTGCATGACAGGTTATAGAGGAAATTGTACAGGGAGCAGAGCACTAAACGAATTAGGATGGGAATATAATTGCCTCAGGTTGAAGCTGTGAAAAAATTCTGGCATGTTAAGTAAATACATACTGGTAAATTGCAAATGAAACACTTGATTATTTGTTAAATTATTACTTTTCTTCCCTGTCAAAGAACAGGTTGTGTAGTGTCACCATTTTGGTTACCATTAGGACAGTGGGCAAAGCTGAGATGAATGTCATGGCTGGGTTGAACTTTGTTGAAACTGCTTTGTGTTAAAACCGCCCTTCATTTTGGATAAAAGTGGGGAAACATTTAAGCTTCCTTCTGCTAGGTGAAACAATAACAGTTTCCACACAAAACACAGTGACCCATCACTGCCCAATACAAAGGCATATGCAAGCAAGGCACAACTGAGTGGAGGGTTTCCTAAAGGTTCCCATGTCTGAAAAAGAGGCAGAAATAGAAGGCAGCAAAGAAGCACCAAACACAGCCACAGAAGCACTGGTCCAGGATGGTTTTGGTGTTGTGGACATGATTTGTTGCAGTTGTGGGTGGAGGGTTGAAGTGGTGATTAAGGAGAGTCCTTCCTTGTGTTAATGACTGCCTGTGAATGCAAGAAACTGGGCTCAGTGGCCTAGGAGGCCCCTTCCAGTCCTATGTTCTTAGCGTGGACTTCAGAGGATGCCTTTGGGCTGAGTGTTGGCTATAAAGGGACTTGAAGACAGCAAGCAAAGAAACTGTCTCCAGCTGTTTGTTACTTACTCATGTTAGAGAAATTGGACTTTCTATGCTTTTTAAAACCAGACAGTTTTTGAAAAAACCTGTCCCCATCAGCAATTTCTCCACTAAGATGAAAACACCCACAGGGCCCCAAATTTTAGCTAAGTGCTCAGGTCTAAAAGAGACAGCAACAATCGTAGACTCCTGGCACAAGTTAGAGTAGCTCCTAGGTGATTTTAACCTATGTTGGGGTAGCGAGTCAGAATGCCATAGAAAATGTAGTTCAAGATTTTTCCTGTGTTTTTTTTTTTAAACAATTTCATGTTCGTTTGCTGCTTGGCCCCCACCCAAAGGCCAATATTTCTATGGCCTTGATAACACCCCTGAGACTCGTATCTAAATTTGGCACCAGGGTCAGTTGCTCTTAGAAATCATCCTGACGTGCTACAGAAAGGATTATGACTTCAGAGAGTAGATGAGCTTGTGAAGCTAGGACTGTAAGGCTAGTTGAAGCCCATGAGCACCCTAAATTATTACATAAACTATTTATGGTACGACTGGAAATACTCATTATAAATTATTTTTGCTATATCCATTGACTTCAAAAAAGCATTGAACATGAATCTGCAGTGATCTTTCCTTCTAGCAACAAGCCAGTGGTATAGTTCCCTTCCTAAGGCCAGCCAGGAACATGGAAGTGATTTACTGTGAACCTGTCCCCAGCCTCTTTGCAATAAAATAAAAAGTTCTGCAGTTTCCATAAAGTGGCACAGACTTCTGTCATTTACCTGCAGGTTGTTATGGATTCTGTTTTTCCCCAGGGGATGAATGTGTCGTCCAGTGGTGACAGCAGCAGATTGAGGGTGAAATTTGCAAAAGCACCTGAGTCATTTAGGAGCTTATGTCCCACTGATTTCCATCATGATTCCATTTCTGAAAAGGAGATACAGGCTCTGAAGCCACATCAGTACTTTTGCAAAAGTTGCTTTGGGCATCAGAAGATCTGGTTCCTCTTTGTGGTTCTGCCTTTAACTTGCTGTTTGACCTTTGGCAAGATGCTCACGTTGTGCTCAGACTCTTCTTGTGTAGAAAGAGAATAAGGCACACTTACTTTTGTATCTATTTCAGTATAGCTACAGTCCCTTTCACCATTGTGCCCAGATAAAGTTGCCAGGAAGGGTTCAATATTTTTCCATTGCTGTGACATTGGTTTTTCTTGTAAAACATTCCCATTTTTAAAGCTCTTTTATTTGTTGACAGTCAGGAGGCCAGTACACTTAGTTGATCTTAATCATTTATTTTCTTTTTTTTTTTTAATCTGTACAGGTTTTGGTTTCAGATCATCACTTCATGGGAGGAAGAATCTGATGCCATTATTGCTTTTGACAATGTTTCTCTTAGCCTGGACTGTTATCTAACAAGTGAGTACACCTGAGGTCAACTTTTTATCAATGAGATGTGAGGTTTGGACAGAGGTGGGCACTGCAGTCTTCTCTAAATCTTCCCAGAAGTGTAAGGTCCCCTCTATACATGCAGGTAAAAGTGCAAATCGGATCTAATGCATGAGCCACACAAACACACCTCCTGCCATGCCACACGTGCATGGCAGGAGGTACGATTGTGGGATCACACCTTATTGCTGGTGTACGAGGGATCCCAATCCTGGGCTTCCTCTGCACTGGCAAGAAGCAGGGCCCCATGGTTGACAGCCCCATTTGCTGAGGGGGCTCCCAGCTGCAGGGGCCAGGAGCAGCCAGGGCCTAGAGCCCTTCAACGGATGGGGCTTTGGGTCTTGGCTTTCCATCGCATGCAGCTGAGGCCAAGAGTTCCACAGTTGATATGAGGGGCAGCCAGGACCAGGAGCCCCATCAGTTGCAGGGACTCTTAATCCCAGTTGCATGGGCAGTGCAACTGGGACTGAGAGCCCCATGTGGTCTGGAGGTTTCACATACCCCTGAGCCTTGGGGATCATGGCAGCCACAATCCCCAGGGCTGAGAGGTTTCACACTAGGCATGGTGCACCCCTGTGGCTGGGAGCCCTGTCAGTTGATGAGGCTCACAGCCACAAGGGAGACCCTGCTACACATGCAAATTAAAGCTCAGTAGCAACCAGCTATCAAGTTAGTATACATTTTTGAGGTCTAACTTTATAGCTGGCTGGAGCTTTTTACCACGTGATAGCTCCTTCGCACATGTAGCTGGTTTTAAGGTAATTGCACAATTAACCAGTTGATTGCACAATGCCCATAACATGTAGAGTGTGGCTAAGGTTAAATCTCTGAAATCCTATTTATGTGTAGCTTAAATAGTCTCACTCACTACATATTGTATCACTGGGGTGGTCTAGGAAATGGAGTAAGACTCTGGCATTGCCTTGAGACACATTGTGGAGGAGTGTCAACCGACTACTCGAAGGATAGCATCACCTGCTATGCAACATGGCTCAGAAGCCGGTTTGTGGCTGCATAATGTTCCACAGGAGATGACTTGTTATCTGTGACAGTTAATTATGGCTGTTTACAGACGTGGAAAAAACAAAACAAAACAGTACTTTATTTTCAGCTCAGTGTACCCCTGCACTGAGCACAGCTCATGCCCAGAAGAGGAATCACATCAGTTTGACCCAGCTCACCCAGCATCAGTATAGCTCATGTGCTTCAGCAGGGCTTTTTGAATCAGCTATTAGATAGAAGTGCCAAAAAAACCCACTGAAGCGCACATGCTATACAGACATTGGGCAAGTTGGATCAAACTGATGTGATTCCTCTTCTGGTAAAGTGCTGTTTTTATTTTTTGATCCGTGTCTGTCTGTGCCCAACGTGAATAAAATTTGGACTGTTGGCCAGGGAAAGAGGTAAACCAAGATAACTAGAAATGTAATTTGTAAATGGGTCAAATGATCTCACTATGTGCTGTACAGGGACACTCATACGAAGATAAAAGATGGGTAATCATTTACACACTGCAAAACTCTTATGTAGCAAACAGTTGTAATGCAGGCTCCTCTTACTCTAATGAACTGCATAGAAAACTTGCAAGAGAAATCAAACAGAAACCCCAGTACAGTGTCTCCCAGTCCCATGTAGGTCCTTTTCCCTTATATTTTGTGACCATAAAGTAGAAGCTTGAAACAATTGGGGGAGGAGGGTGTAAAATAACTGAGTATTGTTTCACATATACAGTGCAGGAACTAAGCACTTGGTTGACTGACTGCATTCAGATACTGTTTTAAAAAGCACGTTCAAGCTAAAAATTATGAATCAGAGCCTCAGGCCATATAAATGAGTCTTGCTCCATTGATACTAGTATTTTACATCTGTCAAGGATCTGCTCCCATATATGCTTGGGATGGTGCCATTGTAGGTTATTAAAATTGAAAAAAAAGTTAAATTCTCATTTACTTTCTGCCTCATTTGCCATTTTGCTCATCTGTTGCTCTCTCCCCAGAACTAGACTGCTCTCGTTCATTTTGTTGGTGATGCTGCATCCACTTAAATCTCCATTAGTTCCATGCACTGCATTTGGGCAGATGTAGGACCTCTAGGGTAGTTTCCCATCCAGTGGAAATCAATAGAGCCCCACTGGCTTCAGTGGAGTTATGTCAGTTTACACCAGCAAGAAATCTGGCCCTATGCATCTCGTCAGCTCCACCTGCAATTCTAGTCAGGTTTGCAGCCTCATATATGCGCCAGTATAAGGGGATCTTACCTCCATCTTCTTCTTAAAAAAATAAAATAAAAAAGAGTCACTATCCTGTAAGTAAAAGTTATTTTACAGCACTTTACCAGATAAACCTAAGTGTTAGATCGAGACACTGTTAGTATTTCTATACATTCTGTATTTCTCCTTATTATCTTTGTTGGCTGTGCTGTTAGGTTTAGCGTCCCTTCTCCCTCCTCTTTTTCCCCTCATTTGTTTCCATTCCCATAGCAGCAGTGGAATGGCAGGCTGTCTTTCCCTCTAATCCTGCCATGGGCAGAGTCTTGGCCCAGACAGCACAACCACCAGCTGTTATTTACCTCTCTTCTTTGAACCACCCACTGCCCCTGCACAGTCATAAATGAGACCGCGGCTTTTTGTCTTCCAGTCAATGGAGAGAAGACACCTCAAGATACCCCTCCAGACTCAAGCAATCTGCTCACCAGTAGAGGTGGCCAGAAAAAGATTGGACTGGAGCACAAGATCCTGGAGAACCTCTCGTTCGGCGCTCCTCCCACCTCTGGCCCCGCAGGTAGGGAATTGTCTGGCGGCGTGTCATTCCTGAATGCTTGGCTTTCTCCGTCCTGCAGGCTTCAGTTCAGCACAATGAAATGCAGCAGAGCTTGTTGACAATTAAATTTTACTAAGCCTTTCATAAACCTGTAGCAAACTAAACCAATCTGAGGAGATTAAGTCCTGTTACATTGTTAAACACAACTTTAATGTGGATTACAAGCTGGAAAACAAAAGAACCGGGAGGGATTCTTCTGCAAGCAAAGGAAAGCAATTACTCATAAGGGCAAAAGGTTTGTTTTCTTGAGTGCTGGGGGAAATAAAACAAACTCCAAGTAAAGTATCTAAGAAAGATCATCACTGGTTTACTTGAGCAGCAGCAGGGCAGTGTGACACCTGAGAGATTAACTCATTCAGAGGCATGAGCTTTTGTAGATGACAGCTACTTCATTTGGATACACCTTCTGCCCAAATAAACATCTGATGAAATAGGCTGTTGCCTATGAAAGCTCATACCATTTAAATGAGTTAGTCCCTAAGGTGCCACTGTGCCCTGCCTTCTGCTAAGGTCAGACTAGCATGGGTAACTACCTCTTACTACTCATAGCTTAGTCCAATCTAATATCACATCTGCCTAATTTATTTAAATGTGTACCAACTACCATTTTCACTTTGTTTTGCCATGAGTTGAATGTCATTAAACTACTTTAAGGATGTCATCAGCTCAGACCAGTTTAAAATCCAGTCACAGGTTCCTTGCCCAGCCAGTCCTAGCTAACCCCCCGATCCCAGTTTTCTGTAAGATCTGCCCATCTCCCACTGCTCGTTTCCCTTCACATCAGATCCTAGATGCAGGCTTCTGGTTCAGCAGGTTCTACCCCTCCCTTCCACCTAGCTGCTTGTTCAGTCTCAGTGTCCTTCCTCCCTCAGTCAACTACTTTTCAGTATCCTCCATCTCCCTCACCTTCTCCTCATCCAAGTGTCCTTATGCAACAAATTCCTTATCTCCTTCCTGGCCCACAGTCTCAGTCTCACATCACCCTCAAGTTCCCAGCCCTAGTTTCCATGCCTAGCCACTCCTAGTTTCTCTCCCCTCCAGTCCCAATCTCACCAGACTTCTTGCTGTAATCTACTCTTCCACTCTGCCATGCACAGCTTTTTGTCTCCTATGAATCTGCACTGCCTAGGACCCAGCAGGGGAGATTCTGAGAGCATGGGAGAGACACTTCCCTATCTCTCAGGGATTTGCTTGCCTCAGCCTCCATCATCTGTTATGTGGATAGCTGATGTTCCTGACAGGAAATTAGAGTGATTAACAGCAAGTTATTTATCTGTCAATGTGAAATAACAACCCCTTTGCTGCCAAACCCCCCTCCCATGGCAGTTTATGTAAAAACAAGGCCATAGATGGTATGTGACTCATAAACCATGTTAACAAGCCCTGGAATTTGTTCACATCACCTCCTTCTTCCCTTCAGAAAGCTGCTGAAAATCAATCTTGGGATATGTCTGTGCTGCAGACTATAGTGTTGTGTAAAGATACCAAAGCTAACTTCAGCTTGAGCTCACTCAGGCACCAGAAGCAGTCTAGCCAATGCAGCACTGAACTCAGCTTGGGCCATCTATGAAGAAGCAGGGTAAATAAACCTGCATGGACCTCTTGTTAAAGCTAGCTCTCTGCATTACATAGCAGGCTGCAGTGTAGGCTTAGCTCTAGATGGTATCAGAAGGTATTGTTGCTATTCTCCATAATGAACATTGCACATCGGGCAGATGTAAAAACAAAGGATGGTCTTGGCCTTAAAGCTCTGAACCAGGATGGGAAGGATCAGATGTCAGGATCTAGTTCTGTCACAGATTTCCTGTTTGACATCGGCCAAGTCATGAAGAGCAAAGTTTTCCAAGGTAACATAAGCCCTTCCCTTTCTAAAGGTTTGCCTATACCTCTATTTTGGGATAAGTTGAAGATTTGCCTGCACAATCTGTCCCTCCCTGTCTATTACCTTGTTGTGGTAGCATACAGGAAGCTCAGGGGGAAAGCCAGGCAATGAGCAGATTGAGTCCTAGAGGAAAGAAATGGGAAACTCAAATGGAACCCCTCAGGAAACATGCTCACTACTTGTCTCTTCTGTGCTTGGTTCTAATCATAGACACTTGAGACAGGCAATAGGGTGCAGATGGGCCAGAGGCAGATTTTCTGCCTTATGCCATGTGGTGTGTGAATGAACTGTGAATAATCTGCATCTCCAACTGTTAGGCCATGAGCTTAAATATTGCACACAGCACTTTCCAGCCCTCCTGTTCAAGCAGGCCTACTAGGCAGCCAGGTGGGGGAGACGTGTGAAAGTAGGTGGAGCAGAGCAAGCTAGAGAGAGGGTTCAGTTTGAATAAGTGACCTAGGTCTGGATCCAAAGCTGGTTTAACTTCTTGAATTTAGACTGGAAAAAGTGATAAGAGGCTTCTGCAGGAGAATGTCATTAAATCCAGCTGACTGGACTGCAGATACTCTGAGAATAAGTTTTTCTCTTGCTTTTCTTGCATCTTACATTTTCTACATGTGCCTGGAAACAAAAAATAATAAGTAAAGGGAAGGGAGTTTTTTGTGCTTTTTTGAGCCTCTGAAAGGGTGTTAAGTGAACAAGTCACTTAAGTCATTCAGTTCCTAGTTCCTGCCCTTGTCAAGTCATCACTATCCCTGGCTCATTTTAAAATGTCCTCCAACTTTTAAGACTTAAAATACTTTCTGGATTCAAAAGAAGAGCAATTTTTGCTTCTTTGTGCTACTGAGAAGAGCTGCCCCAGAGCTGAGAGGGGAGGACTGATAACAGCACTGCTGCGTGCCTCTCCAGAGGTTGCAGTAAAGGAGAGCTGCTACTGCTTCCTTTAAGGGCTCCATAGGAATAATTTATTCCAAAGGTTCCCTGAGATGCAATAAGTTGTTGAATTCATCAGTTCCTTGTGTCACTGAGCCATTGCTCTGCAGAAACGTGCAGGCATCTGTTGCCTAGAGTTCTACCAATGAACTAGGTCTCTGACCTTTACATTTCACCCAGCTTTAATCATATTACTACCTGCATTGCAATAATGCATTTAAGAAACCTCAGGCTTAGCTTGTCAGGGCTGTTAACTTGATGAGAGCATATTTACCATTGTGCAAGTGAACCAGCAGCATCAGCACCACCCTGGAGTCCCAAAGAGGGCACTGATCAATATAAGCCCAGCCAAAAGTAATTACAGTTAATGTGATCTTTGGCTTGCTTGATGGATCGCGGACTGTAATATTTCCTTCTTAACAAATCATATTAAAACAAAGACCTATGTTTCTGCAGCTGGTGAGACAACAGGATGATATAACTTCAGCCCCAAACCTCTGAACCAAACTATTCAACAAAGAAAAAAGCTCTATCTTAAAGGTATCGCTCTCATTTACACAAAAGTAAATCGAGAGTAACTCTAGTCTACAGCGTTCATAGTCAGGAAAGCTGCTTTCAGCAAAAGTAATATTAACCATCAGTATCTACCTCGTTATCCATTCTCAAGCCAGTGCACAGTGAATCACCACTTCAACATGGCTCCTGCTTATAATGGCTGGAACCTTCCAATGCCTCAAACATATTGGGTTGGCAAGGGTGTGATGGTAGCAGCACTGTAAAAAAAATTATTAAAAAATTGAAGGTGTGAGAAATTGTCCATGCCAACAGCCCACTGACACATGTAGTATACTGACTACATGCATTCCATCTCCCTCTAGGGCAGGGGTAGGCAACCCCCGGCACACACAGATTCATAGATGTTTGGGTCATAAGGGACCTCAGTAGATCATCAAGTCTGACTCTCTGCACTGGACAGGAAAGAACGCTGGGGTAAGACAACCCCAGCCAGGTGCATATCTAGCCTCCTTTCAAAGACCCCCAAGGTAGGGGAGAACACCACCTCCCTTGGAAGCCCATTCCAGATTCTGGTAACCTTTACCATAAAGAAGTTCTTTCTGATATCTAACCTAAATCTTTTCTCCATCAGCTTGTGGCCATTGTTCCTAGTTACTCTAAGGGGTGCCCAGTGAAAAGAGCATCTCCTATTCCTTGCTCCCTCTCCCACCCCACCCAATGAATTTGTAGGTGGCCACAAGATCACTTCTCAGCCTTCTCTTGCAGAGGCTGAAGAGATCCAGGGCCCTCAATCTCTCCTCGTAGGACTTTGCCTGCTGGCTCCTAACCATATGAGTGGCCCCCCTCTGAACCCTCTTGAGGTTGTCTACATCCCTCTTGAATGATGTGATGTCACTTTCTTTTGCTTGGCAGGCACTCCTCAGGTAAGGGACCGGGGCTGCGCTGCCATAACAAGGATTGGGCCCCTTGTGGCTCTCCCACTGTTTGGCCCTGGCATGCCAGCATCTTACAAGTTGAAGTTTCAAGCGTTTTTGGCACTTTGCCCAAAAATGTTGCTAACCCCTGATCTAGGGGGTTAGTCCATCACAAAGATATTGCTACTGGCTAATGGAGTTAGTCAGTTGATTAAGACCTGTGATTTGGCTGTCGTGGCCATGGATTCTGGGACAGCCAGGTTCATAACAGATTAGGGCTGTACAAAATGGCTATGTTTTGTTTCAGAGGACAGTGATTCATTTTGGTGTTTCGCATCACTGTTCTGTTTCAATTTGGCCGAATCTGTTTCCGTGTTTCAGCACTTATTCGGAGATTTGAATCAGCAAGGGAGAGGCAGACAGAGCCGGATGCCTGCAGGTTCTCCCACAGCTCCTCTGGATGTGCCTGCCTCTGCCCCAGCAGAGGAACCCACAGGAGAAGCCCCTATGGCTGCCCTACCCAGGTCCATCCCCCACCCATCCCCAGCCCCCAGCACTTTAAAAAAAAAATGCCCCGCACTCACTGGCTACAGCAGCAGTGAGTGGAGCCTCTGAGGGCTCAAGGCAGAGCCCCCCCATGCAGCGAAAGGCAGCAGGGATCACCCCGCGCCCCCGCCTAGCACCCACGCGGCAGCTGCCCCATGGCATGGGTACAG